TGAACAAGTGTTTAATTGTGACACTGACAATGTTGTGAAACACTTTAGGAATGTCAAAGGAACGGGAGGTACAGGCCTCTATGGACAGATATGTTGTACGACAGAGGTCCAGTGACTCAAGATGGTCCTAGCGGCATTAAAAGAAGAAGGGAAGTAACCCCGGAAAAGGACTTGACACCTCAAGTCCTAATGGAAGAGGATTCCCCTTCTAAACACTAACACCATCCACACTCTCCCCTCCTCCCATCCCATCAATCATCACCAGATCTTCAATAAAGGTAAGTGTCATGTAATTGTACATGTCTTCTTCAGTTTGTGTGTATTAAAATTAATATTTCATGTGGTAAAATTTTTTTTTTCAATACTTTTGGGTGTCTTGCACGGATTAATTTGATTTTCCATTATTTCTTATGGGGAAAATTAACTTGACTAACGATAATTTCGATTAACAATGAGCTCTCAGGAACGGATTAATATCGTTGGTCAAGGGTCCACTGTATACCCCTTCCTGCTCTACTTCTCATTAGTGTGACTTTGTAAATGGTCCAAGTCGGACCAAAACGTCGTCGTAAGCTCCTCTCTTCTATAAGCGGGTTATTTGTGTATCATTCCAGTCACAGTATTGTGCCTTTTTTTGTTATTTAACCCTTAATTTTGCTTAATAATAGTCCCAAAGCACAAAAGTGATGCTGGTAGTTCTTCAAAGCCCAAGAGAAGCCTGAAGTGCTTCCCATCAGTGAAAAAATGCTAATTCTCAACTTATTGTGCATAACTTATCAATTAAATTTTATTATAGGTATGTACGTAAATGAAAAATTTCTTACATGTATATAGGATTCGCTACTATCCACAGTTTCAGGTAACTGTGGAAGGTATTGGAACATATCCCCAATGGATACGGGGGGGGGGGGGGGGGGGGGACTACTGTACTTCTGTCACAAAGCATACAGTGTGTGTGGTCAGGATAAATGTTCTCTTGATGATCCTCTGTAATTCTACATTCTTATGCTGACAATTAGACTTTCTTTGTACATCTTCTTATACGATAACATCAACTCTAAACTTATATCCTCCTTAATACTGACCATAAACTTAAACTAAGGTGCTGTTTGTTGTTTGCTACAGAACCTGTCTTCTGATACCCTCAGCAATATACTACTGAGATGGTGTTCTAAAGTGACTCACTTAGAAGCCTGGCAGTGTGGAACATTATGCTCTCTTCATTAGTGAATGTCTGGGCACTCTGCATAAGGCAGATTCATATTGGTGTAGGAAATGGGTGGTCCAATTGGGAAAGATGAGTGGGAGTAAACTTATCCTAGTTGCTACCATTTCTTAAATGCATCAAGTACAAAAGTTGCTCCTGTTGGCTGATTGCTTTGTCAGGACAATTAAGTACATGATGGTATAAGCTCAAAAGTGGAAATAAAGACACTGGTAGTATGAGGAAACCTTTAACTATGATGTTTCACCCAAGGCCAGGTTTGATCAGGAATATACAACCACTTTGTTAATGGTTTCCTTGTTGCAAGTCTCTCTATATACTGTAATTCATAATATTGTTTTGCTATAATGTGATTTGTCACTATATTGTATATATAATATACAATATATATATAATATACAATATAGGCTTTCTAATTTGTCAATTATATTCTAATGCAGTATGCTGAATCTTAATTTAAAATACAGAATAAATTAAAAGTTTTTATAATTTTTCTGCATTTTTAGAATTTTTTAAACATATTTTAGTTATATCCAGTGTACATATTAAAATTATTTTTATATAAACTGTACCAAAATATACTGCTTAAAATGAATTTCATAAAAAAAAAAAGCATTAGAATATAGTATTCTGTTATCTGCAATTATTTATTAATAAACATGTAACAATTTGTTAGTGAGCAAAGAACCAAATTTAATACAAATTAAAAGAACATATACATAATGAACTTACAAGTGAGCAGGGGTGAGAGTCCGGGCATGGCGTGCCATGGTGATCTCTCCAGCTCGGGTCAGCAAGGACTCCACAAAAAGCTCCAGGCCTCGAGGTATTCAAAGTTAAGGAGTTATCTGATTACCTTCAGGCAAGTACAACAGAACCGAGTATCTGTGATTTCAGTTATCCATAGTTGACTGTCTTGAAAATAGCCCTTAATTTTGTTTAATAATGACACCAAAGCACAAAAGCAGTGATGGCGGCAGTTCTTCAAAGCCTAAGAGAAGCTCAGAAATGCTTCCCATGGGTGAAAAAGTGCTAATTCTCCACTTATTTTGCATAATTTATCAAATCACCTTTATCATAGGTATGCATGTAAACAAAAAATGACTTACATATGGAGTCTCAGAATGTATCCCCTGCCTATATGAGATGGGGAACTACTGTACAGCCAAACACCCAAATACATATGCTTTGATTCTTCAATACTCTTGCTTAACTGTTTCACTATCATGACTATATACATTTTTGAGGTCAGTAGTGCTTACATATATCCAAGTCTTAGCTATAGCACCCTCAAATATGCTGAGCAGTAAATTTCAGCCTAGACACATGATAATGGGTGTAGGTGGTGGGTGTGCACAGTATAAAGACATCCTGCCCCATGCAGTACATGATGGGAACAGCAAATCTACAACTTGACTTTGGATTACTGGGTGTTTCTTGCTGCCAACTGATAAAACAGAAGACATGCTAGTGATTTTGGTAAGGATTTTTTAATCTAAGTACTTTGAGGTAAAAAGAAACATGATCTGAAGAAAAAATGCTCACTGGTGGTGAGAATGGATGGATTAGTACTTTTGGGGCATTGAAGTCACTAATATTCAGCTTTTAGAATAATGCTTGACATGGACTGTTCAGACTAGAAATGGCCTGAAACAGGCTTCAAATTGGTGGAAATATATTATTTGAGGTAATTTTCCTGAGATAAAGTTGGGTTGGAGAGAGGGGATAAAGAAGGCTTTGAATACTACAGTTTTGAACATCTGACAGGCTTGTGTGAGCATATTAGATCTGAGCAAGTGGGGGTAAGTGGTTTTTGACATGCTGTTGGAGTGTGAGCAAGGTAACTTTTATAAAGGAATTCAGGGGAAACCAGTTAGCCAGACCTAAGGATGCTGCAGTTCAGGTCATCAGCATAATTCTGGAAAGACAGCAACTGAATGAATGACAGTGAATGTGTTTCCTCTTTTTTTTGGGGGAAAGGGTTATCCCACCTTGGTGTGAGATGGCCAGTGTGTTAAAAAAAGTATTCTGAAAATAGCTTCCATATCCATTTTGTTTTAATGCACGACCCCTATGATGAAAACTAACCACAGGATTACATTCAAAACATGTGAATTGCATTTCTGTCTTTCAAATAATTTTTGTCTTGGCTTTTTTATGGATGTTAATATTAGTGAGGCTAAAGTACTATTTTTTTTTTCCCAACAAGTCGGCCATCTCCCACCGAGGCAGGGTGACCCAAAAAAGAAAGAAAATCCCCAAAAAGAAAATACTTTCATCATCACTCAACACTTTCACCACACTCGCACATTATCACTGTTTTTGCAGAGGTGCTCAGAATACAACAGTTTAGAAGCATACACATATAAAGATACACAACATATCCCTCCAAACTGCCAATATCCCAAACCCCTCCTTTAAAGTGCAGGCATTGTATTTCCCATTTCCAGGACTCAAGTCCGACTATATGAAAATAACCGGTTTCCCTGAATCCCTTCACTAAATATTACCCTGCTCACACTCCAACAGATCGTCAGTATTTAAAAAACACATGCCTTCTAAAACACAGGATACAGTCATATCAGAAACCAAAATTATCACGCAGAAAAAATTAAGCGATATTTGCAGATTTTATATTCATGGACACCTCTAGGAAACCATCTCTTACAAATCTGTAGATTTAAGTAAGTAGCCTTTGTAACATTTGCTAGTGTCTTGAAATTTAACAGGTTACTAATACAAGTTACAATACAGTGGCTGAAAAATTTGCAAATAACCCATAATTTGGAAATTAAATGTCCAGTATATGCAATATATCAAAATTCTGGGTTAGTTATGAACAAACAAGTTAGCTTTTGTGAAGAAATGAACTAAGATTTGCATATCATAATAAGGTGAAAGTATTGCACTGCATTAATATGCAATATTTCAATACATATTTCAAATTTACAATGGTGTGACAGCATTGCACATTCAGTACTGCACATTTACTGATAGGATAAACTTTTATTCATTTATTTTTCAATACTGGTATTTAGTTGGTTACAGTAATTATTTGTTTATTTACTTATTCAGCGACACTAGTTATTTATCATATCATATTCGACATACAATATTTTCAACTTACGATGCGAAATGTAACCCCCATCGTATGTCGAGGAGCACCTGTACTGCTATATTTCTCTTCTCCCCCCCCCCAAAAAAAGGCAGTCTCCCACAGAGGCAGGATGACCCAAAAGAAAGAATTTCACCATCACTCACTCCATCACTGTCTTGCCAGAGAGGCGGTGACAATGCAGTTCAAAATTGGAAATATCCCCAACCCTCCTTCAGAATGCAGGCACTATACTATATTACAGTAATATAGTATATTACTTCCCTATTCTCCCCAGCACCTGAAGAATGTGAGGTAATTAATTTGATCCAATAAAGAGGGCAGCTCCAATTCCTTGGATCAACAGTCACTCACTGGCACCATGGCTTTGCCTTCCTTTGAAGGTAAAATCAGGTAAACAAAAACTTTAAGGTCATTTAAATTCTGTATTCATTATCACTTCACTATCATTTCTAATCTAATTACTATACAGGAATTTCAGTACATATTTTAACCAAACTAAATATTCAAAATGACTACCATTATACACAAATAACCCGCACATAAGAAAGAGAAGCTTACGATGACGTTTCAGTCCGACTTGGACCATTTACTCTACAATTATAATATCTATAGTGAAAATAAACTTGTAGCTCACTGGTTTTACTTAATATCTGATTTAAGCCTGAGTTTTTGGGCTGCATCATCTCTTCTTATAGGCTGATTGAGTGTGCTGGTAGTTTTTCACAAACCTAAGTCAGCATTATTAAAGACTATTATGTATGGCAAGAAAGGATATAGATGATGACAGGGACAGCTGCAGCAACCTTCCCAACCTCCTCATCAGTCTGCATAATCTTCTTGATTCTTGCCTGCAATGAAAATGACAGCATTATATAAATATCAAATTTCTTTACAGAGGCTGGATAATCACGGACCACAAACAACCGAAGTGAGTTTAAGTGGAAGATTTTTTTTTTGTTTACTCAGCCTAACATTTAACTCATTGTTAGAATAGTTTAGTATTGTGTCAATGAAGAGATTCAGGGAGACCATTTAGATACGTATAAGTGAAGTACAGTGCCATCTGTGGTCTATTAGTGGTCCTGGGGACTACCTTCTCCACAGCTTGGTCTCAGCCCAGACCTCCAAGATTGGAAAGAAAATAATAAGGATTACGAAATACTTAAAATAATACAGGATTAAGAGCTGAAGTACAGAGGAAAGTAATGTATATACTGCATGTAAGTAAAGTTTTGTAAGATTTACCTATCATCTTACATGTTTATGAGACAGAAACAAAAGATCAGCAATCCTATTTGAGGGTCATTCCATGTTAAGTGAATCAGGGCTCCCCACCTCACCATCACGGATTTTGATGAAACAATGTGCTGAATCCACCATGTCCCAAGCTAACTTTGGTAAAGTTTTAGATAGGTCAATGAAATGGTTGCCGAGACAGAACCCTTTGTTTGACACCATGCCGCGACTGTGTACTGTAACCCTACGAAATTTCTGCAACTTTGAATCAAAATAATTTCTCACTCTTTCGACCAAAGTAAATGAAACTTTGCTATCTTACACAACTTCTTATGCTTAATCCAATGGAACTATCATGGATTTACATTTTTTTGAAACTGACATACTGACTGAGCTTCAAAGTGGAGAAAAATATCAATGCATCAAAAAATGTAAAATTTTAGCCTTCTCTCGCTCGTGTAATAATAAAAGATATCCCCATGAAAGCCTGTAATTGTTTTACATGATAGTAGGATTGCTGGTGTCTTTTGTCTGTCTTATAAATATGCAAGATTACAGGTACGTCTTGCTACTTCCACTTACACTTAGGTCACACTACACATACGTGTACAAGCATATATATATACGTATACACCCCTCTGGGTTTTCTTCTATTTTCTTTCTAATTCTTGTTCTTGTTTATTTCCTCTTATTTCCATGGGGAAGTGGAACAGAATTCTTCCTCTGTAAGCCATGCGTAATCAAGAGGGGCGTAACCTATCCTGAGCAAGGTTAGTAACCCTTTCCGTAAATACAGTTGATCCTTGGTGCAACAACTTTTCATTCCGGTGAGTATGTTCAGAGGCAGTAGATCTCCGAAATTTTTTCCATAGGATATTGTGAATAACTGTCATTTAAGACCCCAAACATACACGTACAAACACTTACAGTAAATACACTTACCTAATGGTCGCATTGGATGGATCGTTGAAAATGTCACACTGTGGTACTAAATTTAAAAGGGAAATTATTTTTCTTTGGCTCAGCATTTCCCAGTGGATTGGCGTAGTTAATAAGAAGACATATGAAATTTGTTTACTATTTGTGACATACCGTTAAATACTACGCGTCTCTATTCTGGAGACCAGAACCCTGGGGATCAAAATCGCCAAATTGGAAATTCCTAAACTTTGGCATCAATTTGATGGTGGACTAAATAATCTATACGTGAGCATTCACATGGTTTGTGGCAGATAGTTGGAATTAATACAGTGGTCCCGCTGTGTCCTCGTTTCGCATCGTCAAAATTCGCAATATAGGGGTATATTCATAACATGGACGTTCTCAATGGACATTGAGTGATTTATTAGTGCGGGACGTGATGAAGGGGAGCTGAATGGGCAGCCATCTGCTCAATATTCCTTGAATATTCGGTCAGTACTACACATACTTGGAGTGAAAAAATATCGTTCAACGGGGGTCCATTATATATTCTCATTTATTTTAGTGTTGCAAGTACAAATAAGCTACCATGGCTCCAAAGAAAGCTCCATGCCAAGCCTGTGGTAAAGAAGGTGAGAAATACGACTGAATTTAAGAAAGCCATCATTGAACAATATGAAAGTGGTACAAGTGTGGCTGAACTGTCCAGGATGTATAAGAAACCCTACACAACCTTATATTCCATAGTGGCCAAGAAAAAATGAAATAAAGGATGCTGTTGTTGAAAAGGGAAGTAACTATGCTGACAAAAATGAGATCACCAGTACTGGAAGAGGTTGAGAAGTTATTATTGGTGTGGATAAATGAGAAACAATTAGCAGGAGATACTCTTATGACTTTGTTTATTTGTGAAAAGGCTAGGCAGTTGCATGAAGATTTGGTAAAGAAATTGCCTGCAAATAGTGGTGAAGTGAGTGAATTTAAGGCCAGCAAAGGCTGGTTTGAGAGATTTAAGAACCGTACTGGCATACACAGTGTGGTAAGGCATGGCGAGGCTGCCAGTTCGGACCACAAGGCGGCTGAAAAATATGTGCATGAATTCCAGGAGTACATAAACAGTGAAGGACTGAAACCTGAACAAGTGTTCAATTGTGTTGAAACAGGCCTCTTTTGGAAGAAAATGCCAAAGAGGACCTTCATTACACAAGAGGAAAAGGCAATGCCAGGACATAAGCCTATGAAAGACAGGCTGACGCTAATGTTCTGCGCTAATGCTAGTGGGGATTTCAAAGTGAAGCCATTACTAGTGTACCATTCTGAAAAATCCCAGAGTGTTCAGGAAAAACAATGTTATGAAGAGTAAATTGTGTGTTTTGGAAATCTAACAGTAAGGCATGGGTCACGAGGGAAATTTTCGTCGAGTGGTTCAATGAAGTGTTTGGCCCTAGTGTGAAGGAGTATCTCCTGGAAAAGAAATTGGATCTCAAGTGCATGCTAGTAATGGACAATGCACCTGCTCATCCTCCAAACTTGGATGACCTAATTTTCGAGGAGTTTGGGTTCATCACAGTAAAGTTCTTGCCCCCGAATACCACTCCTCTCCTCCAACCCATGGACAAGCAGGTTATTGCAAACTTTAAAAAACTCTACACAAAAGCAATGTTTCACAGGTGCTTGACTGTGACCACAGACATTCACTTGACCCTAAGGGAATTTTGGAGAGAACACTTCAGCATCCTCCACTGCATAACCCTTATAGGTATGGCTTGGGAGGGAGTGACTACCAGGACTTTGAACTCTGCCTGGAGAAAATTGTGGCCAGATTGTGTCGACAAGAGGGATTTTGAAGGATTTGGGACTGACCCTAATGAGCCTATGTCTGTTGTAAAATCAATTGTGGCACTGGGGAGTTCCATGGGGTTGGATGTGAGTTTGGAGGATGTAGAGGAATTGGTGGAAGACCACAATGAAGAGCTCACCACTGAGGAGCTGCAAGAGCTTCAGCAGGAAGAGCAACACACTGCAGCTCAGAATCTTGCTGCAGAGGAGGAGGAAGAGAGATGGAAGAAGGTGCCTTCTTCAGAAATTAAAGAGATTTTTACTATGTGGGGTAAGATGGAAAGCTTTATGGAGAAACATCACCCTAACAAGGTTGTTGCAAGCCAGGTTGGCAACATGTACAGTGACAAAGTCTTGGGCCATTTTAGGGAAGTGTTAAAGAGACACCAGAAACAGAGCTCTCTCCACAGTTATTTTGTGAGACAGGACTCCAGTGGCTCTCAAGGTGGTCCTAGTGGCATTAAGAAACAGAGAAGAGAAGCAACCCCAGAAAAGCAAATGGTACCTGAGGTGTTGATGGAAGGGGATTCCCCTTCCAAACTATAAACAATCCACTCTCTCTCCTCCTCCAGTCTCCCATATACTAAGAAGAATCTCCAATAAAGGTAAGTGTTATGCTGTTAATGTTTCATTCATCATTTCCCATTGTATTGTTTATGTACTACATACATATGTGCCAGGAAATGCAGCTGCCAAAACGTGATCTGCCGAACCTGATTCTCCACTCATCTTCAGGTTGTGCAGGGAGAACAGTCTCTTAAATTTATCAAACCGTCCTTTACTTCCTAGGAAGTCAAAATGGGTGATGATAGGATGTCCTGGTTCTGCATTGGTGATGGCCTCATCACTAGCCAACGTATCATACAAAGTCTTACTCTTTGCACGAACAGCATTGCTGTCTATGGGATTTCCTCTTCTATTTTGGTCTGAAATCCACACAAATAATGCTGATTCCATCTTAGACATTGTACCGTTTCTTTCTTGTGACACTTGCTTGGCTGAGGGAGGAACAGTAGATGCTATTGCTGCCCTTATCTTCACCTCATTTTTCTTCATATAGTGCACTGAGCTTTCGCTTACATTAAATAATTTTCCAATGGCAGAATTGCTCAAATAATCTGCCCTACACTTGTCTAGCAATTTCACCTTCTCCAGATTCATGACTTTCTTGGAGTGCTTAGGGGTTGGCTCATCAATGGTGGTTGCTGTTCGCTTGGGGGCCATACTTGCACCACCACACAAACACACTTGTATGGTAGGACACAAACAGTAGCTGGACACGATCGACGCAAACAGTTCAACATGTTACTATATGCGGATGTCATATCACATTATATGCTGTTAAATGAAGCTCTTATAACACCTGTCATTATTCATCTCTAAAAGACTATGTTTTATCTCTTCAGGTAAATTAATTATAGACAATTGATAGCAAATTTCTAGTATGTAAACTATGGAATCTGCCAGTAACGGTAGTCCCACAACTTTTATCGTTAGAAGAGAAAAACCATCATCGACATATCAGGACTTATTTTATTGCAAGAAAATTGGATTTAAATTGGTACATGACTTATCCACAGACAAAAAAGCACTACTTATTCGATGTTCAAAAGTAAATCTTATGGACAATGACCAAATTTGTTTGCATCATGAAGCAATATGCTACCTCAAAAAAATATGAAACAATGCAAAAGACATGCTGCAATCCATTTGGAAAGCAAAATCATACTGGAACAGGACTTTTGAGGGTCGATGCTGAAATGGCTGACAAACTGAATTGTTTGACAAAGGTGATGCTTGAATAGCGGAGACTTCAACTACCTTGTCCTCATCTTTGGATAATTTTGACATGGACAAGTCTGCCACAATTAATAAAAGCTCGTCTGCCTTGGGTGAATCACCCTTGAAATTTTCGAAAGTGAGCAGCAGAGATAAAAAGGCTAAACAAAATGAAAAATTGAACAAGTGCAAACTGTGATGATGCACAAGATCACTGCCGCTGCCAGACTCAATGTTCAGAACATTGGACTGTCTAGTCAGATGACAGAATGCAGCTTATGTGAAGACTACATTTCTGTGACTGAAGAAATGAAGAGGAAAATCAAAATATCCAACAGATCAAAAAGAAAGTTCAAATGACTTGGGCTCCAAAAATTTGGTCTATTGAAGCTACAGCTTTGAAGAGTGTGGTGAGGGCAGCCAGAAAAATCAAGAAAGAACAAGGTATTTTGGCTTTGCCAGAACCGAGAGTTGGAAAGCAGTTGTCAAAAGAGGCGGTCAACAGAGTACAAGAATTTTATGAAGACGATGAATTCAGCAAATGTCCTGGAAAGAAAGGTTGTGCTCCAGTTTGGATTGATGGAGAAAAGATGCACAAACAGAAGCAGTTGTGTTGAGCAACCTTAGAGAGATGTATATAGTATACTGTGAAAGGCATGGCACTGAAATTGGGCTTACAAAATTTTGTGAGCTCAGACCAGTCGTGTGTAACAATTGGTGCTTAAGGCACCCATTCTGTTTGCGTCTGTACCATACATCAGAACATCAAACTCAAGTTGGAAGGAGCCAATATTAAAGATGATTACGAAGTGCTTATAGAAAAAAACTGCTTGCAAATGGAACACTACAGATTACATGCTACTGCAATGTTAACATTCTCCCAGCAAGGAAAAACTTACAGTTTATCTCGAAGAAATATTCAATGATTGGGATGTGGATGAACTGACTGAATTTACACAGTGGATGCATACTGATCGTGTAAAGCTAGAAACATGCAAACTAATGTTGGATGAATTTTATCAGCATGCTTGCGAACAAAATTTGAAAGTTGACAAGTAACCACTTTGTCTCAAAGCATCAAAGTGAATAACTGAAATCTTTGAAAGCAAATTTAGAAGAAAGTGAAATGACTGTTTCGAAGGACTTTACTGAAAATTACTCTTTTGCTGTACAAGACACTGCTCAGGGCTTTCATCAACCAGCTAAACAATTATAGCCAATATAATATGTAGCCACTTTAATGAGCATAATTTGACTGATGATATAAGTGATCAATGAATCTCAGCGCTGTTTCAGAGAGGGGCATTCCAGTACAGTATTAGAGGCAGTAGACTAAGATAAAGAATAGTGACCATAAGAAAGGTTTACCAATGACACTAATATATGCTGTCAAATAATTTCTAACGTGAGAACTAGGAGGCTAAAGGATGACCTGGATAGGTTGATGGTCAGAGAAGTGGCAGATGCAGTGCAACGAGGACAAGTGCAAGATTCAAATAGTGAGACTGTACTTATAAACTACACAATATAAATTATACTCCAAGAGAAAGCGAAAAACGTCTAGTTCTGGGTAGCAGAAATTTCAAGGCAAGATAACAATGCATAAGTGTTTGCAATAAAACTAACGGAAACCTTGACTTCATAACAAGAAATATAAATAATACAAGTCCTAAGGCTGTACTTTACTTTTATATATCTTTTGCTGCTCAGGATGAGCATAAATAATTTTGAAAATATAAAGAAAAATGACATATATGATTCATGTATTAGAAATCTTTCCTACAAAAAAATTAGGCTGAAGTCACTGAACTTGCACTTTTACTAGGTACGAAGTTCTGACCAGAGCTTTGGTAATGTGGGGAAGGAAGAAGGATGGGTAAGGATGGAAATATGATAAAAGGATTGGGAGGGTGGAGGGGGAGGTAAGGTTTTAAAGGTAAGTGGCCTAACCACTTTGGCACAATTTAAACAAGTGTGTGTGTATGTTGTGGTATTCATGAATACATTAGACTCATAAGATAGGTATACTTCCTACCCATCAGTTGCAGTTTTACCAGCTGTATACCAGCTGAGTTGGAAGGATGCATACTATTTGCAATTGTCTTTTTTTTTTTTTTTTTTTTTGCGAAAGAGGTCGGTTGTAAGGCTGCTGCTGCTGCAGGTGGTAGTTGCAGGGTATTCGATGGAGATTGGGTGCTAACCCCTAGTTGGTTGGCTAAGCAGTTTCTGGGGTGGTGTCCTGCCGTAGGACGTTTACAGATGTTACAAGGTTAGTTGTGAGGTGTAGATTGACAGAAGCAGGTCTCCCAAAATTGGGGTACATTTATCCTTGATGCTGGACAAAGAATGGTTCCGGTGATATCCATTCTTCTATTTCTTCAGGGAGGTCACTCAGGATCCTTGGTCGAGGGAAGTTCTCCTTGTGAATGAAACATTGAACTCTTTGTTGGAGGGTCATTCTTTGGGATCTGTGGGGAGGTGTGTTAATGATGATGTCGGTGGTGTTCGATGGTTGGGGTGGGTTCTCTCTGTCAGGTACATAGAGTACTTCTAAAAGGCATAGAATTAAGCGAAGATACAAATGAAGTGAAGAAATGTAAAACAGGAATAAATAAATGGGATACATAGAGAATGTTGAAAATATCTAGACAAGACTCACAACAATGGACTCGAGTTGGAGAAATTTAAATTTAGAAAGGATAGAAAGTAGCACTAGTTTGACAATAGCTGTGGATGAGTGGGCTGTACGACCCTTGTGGGTTAAGCGCTCAGTTATGATTATAATAAAGCTGATAATAATGATGAGAGGAAGTAACTCTCAGGTAACGTCAATGAGGAGAAAAATTTGAGTAGCTTTAAATACAAGTTGTACAGGTACAAAAGTGGGCGTGAGCTGAACCTGCCTAACATGGGCCAGTAGGCCTATGCAGTGCTCCTTCACTTTTATTTTCTTATATTCTTAGAATTCATTGGTTCGAAAAATTTAAAAAAATTTTTAATGCACATAGAACCCGAGGATACATTACTTACTGGCGGGAACCTGGCATTGTATTTCTTCTTCTTGCCTGGCATGCTGGATGCACTAGTATTGTAAGTCACCAAATGAGCAGCTTAATAAAGCTTATGTCCCGTGGCTAAAGTAAGCTTAAAGGTAGAGGCAGGAAAAGCTTAGCTCGTCATTCACAGCTTATCTTGGCCCCTCAGGCGACACTACCAGCACCGGGGGGGTTTCGAGTGTGAGGACAGCAGTTGGTGGAGGGACACACGGGGTGGTAAGACACACTGGGGATAATACTGGAGGTTTATAAGGTATGAGAGTAGTAGTGTCTCCTTCACCCCGCCACCAACAACAACAACAATGATGGCCGCCGCCACCCTCACTCACTGTTACTATCACCAACACTACCACGCTCATATAACACCACTATATCTACATGTTATCACTTTAACACGTTGTATTATCTAATTCACAACTAAAATACATTACACTAATTTTTTAATAACGCGTCTACACGCCTGTGAAAATAATAAATTCCTTTCACCGACCATATTACTCCTCAACACCACTATGATATAAATACATTATCACTTAAACCACATTGTATTATTCAGTTACAAACTAAAATACACAACAATGAATTTTTTGATAATGTATATAAACATTTGTGAAAATAATAAATTCAGACAAAACTTTAAAAACATTTCGCCATAAAATGACCACTTTTTAAATAATAAAAATAAAAACAATTACCAAAATTACAATTAACATAGATAAACATAATTAAAAATATATATTAAATTAGTTATAAGTAAAGGTATAACACACTGAGTGTGCCAAAAATACGAGACAAATTGAGTCAGGTGATCGATCCTGAGTATCTTGTTGAGTCTGGCAGCTCCTCGCTAACTTCTCTTATTTTCCTGTATTTTAAGGTAAATTAAAGGCTGTAACAAGCTTGTGTGACAGTGTAGACTTCCAGTGTTGAGTCTACTGATGCTTGGCTCTCACTTACCACTCACCCAGGTGGTAATAATGGTGTTATATGAGAGGATATTTGCTGTCAAGATGTAGATCAGTTTTGTTTTAAAATCAAACTAAATAATATAACAGTATATTTTAATGTTTATTTTAATAAACTATAATTATAATTGCTAGAGTATAATATCTGGTGTTTAGTATAATTGATGGTAATATTTATGTGGAGTACGAGAACCCCAGTAGAAATATTTAAGTTGCACTATTGAATAAAAATTTAATTTTATATCAATTAATGTAATATTTGCTTAAAAGTTGCAGATTTTCAGCCTTTAATAATGTTGCTCAGTGGTAGTGAGTTCAGCTCACAACGGGAAGGTCCCGGGTTAAATCCCGGGTGGGGCGAGCATATGGACAGGTCCTTCTAAGATAAGATATTTGTCTACATGACTCACTATATCTTAATGACACGATTAAAAACAAACCATACCACGGGCGGGGATAGAACCCGCGGTCAGAGAGTCTCAAAACTCCAGACTGTCGCGTTAGCCACTGGACCAGCTAGCGTGGCCATGACGAACTCTAGCTCAAGTCCCCTCAAATTATTATTATTATAATCAATGGTGGCCCGGTGGCCTGGTGGCTAAAGCTCCCGCTTCACACACGGAGGGCCCGGGTTCGATTCCCGGCGGGTGGAAACATTTTGACACGTTTCCTTACACCTGTTGTCCTGTTCACCTAGCAGCAAATAGGTACCTGGGTGTTAGTCGACTGGTGTGGGTCGCATCCTGGGGGACAAGATTAAGGATCCCAATGGAAATAAGTTAGACAGCCTCGATGACCACTGACTTTCTTGGGTTATCCTGGGTGGCTAACCCTCCGGGGTTAAAAATCCGAACGAAATCTTATCTTATCTTATCTTAAGGGGGAAGTGCTAAACCCGGAGGATATACAGCGCCTGGGGGGGGATGTGGAAGGCATTCAGGCTTAATTCGGGGAACTGGAGCACAGATCCAATTCCCTAATTCAAGACCCCCTCACCAACATAAAGGGAAACCCTTCCTAATCCCTCAAAGCCGTCAAGTGACGGCTGGCAAATGTGACGGTTGGAGTTTTGAGACTCTGATCGCGGGTTCTATCCCCACACGTGGTATGGTTTGTTTGCAATCGTGTCATTACAACTGTGAGTCATGTTGACGGCAGTGGGGGACTTGAGCTAAAAGTTCGTCACGGCCACACTAGCTGGAGATTCGTCTGTAAAAACTTTGATTTGTGGTCACGGTGGTGCCTGTGCTAACCTTCCTATGGTGTAGAATATACCTAGTTGGATGAATTTTATTGTGGCTAGCTGGTCCAGGGGCTAACGCGACGGGCTGGAGTTTTGAGACACTCTGCCCGCGGGTTCTACCCCCGCTCGTGGTATGGCTTGATGAGATATTTGTTGGGTTTTTAACCCGTGGTTGGGAGGGTTATCTCCCCAAGATAACCCAGGTAGAGAGGGTTAGCTACCCAGGAAAAACCCAGGTGGGGAGTGTTACCCACCCAGGAAACCCAGGTAGGGAGGGTTAGAACACCCAGGATAACCCGGGTAGGGAGGGTTAGATACCCAGGATAACCCAGGTAGGGAGGGTTAGATACCCGGGATAACCCAGGTGGGAGGGTTAGACACCCAGGATAACCCAGGTAGGGAGGGTTAGACACCCAGGATAACCCAGGTAGGGAGGGTTAGACACCCAGGATAACCCAGGGTAGGGAGGGTTAGCTACCCAGAATAACCCAGGGTAGGGAGGGTTTAGCAACCCAGAATAACCCGGGGTAGGGAGCTTTATCCCCCCAAAGATAACCCGGGGTATGGAGGGTTAGCTACCCAGGACTACCTGGGGAAGGGAGGGTTAGCTACCCAGGATTACCTGGGGTAGGGAGGGTTAGCAACCCAGGATTACCTGGGGAAGGGAGGGTTAGCAACCCAGGATTACCTGGGGTAGGGAGGGTTAGCAACCCAGGATTACCTGGGGAAGGAGGGTTAGCAACCAGGATAACCTGGGGAAGGGAGGGTTAGCAACCCAGGATACCTGGGGAAGGGGAGGGTTAGCAACCCAGGATTACCTGGGGTAGGGGAGGGTTAGCAACCCGGGATTACCTGGGGTGGGGAGGGTTAGCAACCCAGGATTCCCTGGGAAGGGGGTTAGCAACCCAGGATTACCTGGGTAGGGAGGGTTAGCAACCCAGGATTACCGGGGGTTAGGGAGGTTAGCAACCCAGGAAAACCTGGACAGGGGCATCATTGTTTTTAGGGGTGTAATGGCTTAAAAACACATTGACTCCGGGGTGAGGGGACTGATTACCTCATTCTCCTCATCTTTCACTGTTCTTCTCTGTATTGGATTGACGAAGCCTTTGACTGGTGAAACATTTCCTCACTGAAGATTCCCAGATATTCCCACAAGTGTCTTCAACTATCTGTCCTATTTCCATTCAGGTCTTTAATCTTGTGCAACATTTTGCCAGCCAATGGCTTCTTCAGTCCAACAGAGAAAGGTGGAAGATGAGGAGGAATTTGAGGTAAACAGTCCCTCAGCCAGGAGTTGATGTGTTCACTCCATTACACCACATATTATTGTGATAGTAAAACATTGCACTAGTTGCACTGTCCTTTTACCCAACATATTGTTGGTAATTCTACCAAAGTCTATAATCTTGTCCCCCCAGGATGCGACCCACACCAGTTGACTAATCCCCTGGTACTTCTAGGTACTATGGGACACTTACTGCCTATCTTACCAAGCAGTTACTAAATGTCTACAGCATAGTAGATGGTTGTGGGTTGTTACAAAAAACGCGATTCTAAAAGCTTAGAGATCTCCAGTGAAATACTAGAAAGGACTGCCCTTCTAGCATCCAGCCTGTTACTGGGTTTTCGTAACAAGTAGTCAGTATCCTTGTCCAATTATCCATTAGAATTCAGTATTATTCAATAATGCTTCAGGATTACAACTGGTTGGCTACTAACTAGAGAAATTAAAATTTAATAAATTTATTAAGTCTAGAGGTATATTATCAGATTAAATTAAATTAAATTAATCACAGTAATCAAAATAATATCACATCTCTTGAGTACAATATTATTGTGCTGAAAGCACATATCACATTATCATTCTTAGTACCGTCGGAAACATTAACTTTTAATAAGATATTACAAATATGTACAAGTAAGTTTGTGTATGTGTGTATGTGCTCTAAGTAGTTCGCTATGTCTCACGACTCGACTAGACTTAAACAAGTGACTGACAAAGTCCTCAAATAAACTAACTTCTTGACTGACTGGCAATCAAAACAGTCTGCTTGAACAATGAAAAGAATGTTAAGCTCAATAGCAATATAACAAGCAACTGCGACACAGACTCAGGAACAAGGAGATAATATAACGACACTAAGTAGGGACCATCTGCAGATCCCCCACAAAAGTCCAAAACCCCCAACTACAAATCTAAGTTCGCATAAGAAAATCCCCGACTGTGATAATACACAGATACCAGTACAAGTTAGGTGAGAAGCTAAAGCTCAGGACCTGAGATGTTTCGAGTGTCTATGTGACACACAACCTCAGTACAACGTCGAAAATCACTAAGTCTATACAATGTTCTGTGAACAGAGTTCTACAGAACTAACAAGAATAATGAAACAGACAATCTGTCCAACCACCAAGCGAGTCTAGAGCAGACTGAATACTTTAGGCGAGGTGAGGACACCCCCCCCCTCAATCACGTGATAGCTCCGTGGACAACGCAGCTCAGAAGCCGGCAAAAGAAAAAGCAAGGAGCGATAATTACAGTAGTAGACAATCAAGACTTGAACTGAGCACTAATATGTTACATCCTACCAACAACATAAGTCAAATAATAATATAAAGTCATACATTTACGATTTTAGTATTATCGCAAATATAAGCAGTATAAAATTATATGAAAAGGTAATATAACATTATATATACATAATAATCATTGAAAACCCCTTATCAGGGTTGCAAAGGTTCACATCCTTTGGAAACCAAAATATCCCTCACTGAATAAGCCAGGGCTTTTTTTTGGGGTTGTTTTAAGTAATAACCCCCTGTAGGCCCTTACAAGTTTGACGTTTGGTAATTGTACTTAGCTCCAGGTGTGTTGATTTCATGTAAATTCTTTTCCCAAAACTTAAGTAAGCTGTGGCAATGTCTGTCTTTTGCTGTTTACCATGCAAAAAAGCTGTTTTCTTTGTATCTTATCTAATGTATAACCAACCTATTGTCTTTTGAAACAAATTAAAGACATTGTTTTCAGTGATATAACAATGGGTTCTAGTTTAAAAGAATTAGTCGTTTAATTTGAAAACTTGTGAATTTACCCAGTGGATCATAAGATAAACAAACAATTGTGATTCAACAAAAATTTTTGTTTAATCCAAAATTGATTTAACCAGCACCTAGCTGTAAACAGAAATTTTTAAATTTAATGGATTTTGTCCGTTGTTTTCAGAAAATGTCCGGCAACGATTTTGTCTGCTAAATCTGAAATCGTTTAAATGTAGCCTGTTAAATTAGAGTTCATGTTTATGAGGTTTGGGCCCGGATGGGCCTGGCAAACTACCAGAACCTGGTAATGGCTCCTAAAGGAGTGTGGAGATGGTACAGTACAAATGATGTTGTTTATAGGGGCATGGGGAGCATTCATGTCAAGTGGTTTTACAGCTACAGCCTATGAAATGGTAAGGTGACTTTCAATCCAGTTGAGCCATTTCTTGGATCAGCCAAAGCCAAGTGCAGAATGACTCAGGAAATTCTTTTTTGGAGGTATATTTACACCTGACTCAAAAAAAAAAAAAAAAGGTTGTACTGTATTGTCGGTAGCAGAAAAACTGAATATAGACTCTTCAATCAACTAAATACTACAGTGGTACCTGTATATGTCCTTAATCTGTTCAGGATTAAGTTTCAAGTTCCTGCAGCCCTCAGTGGTCAGCTCTTCCTTTTTGCCCTCACTAATCTCCACACACGTATACAATCCAGACCCATGGACCTGCCAAGAGACAAATCCTCCACTATGAACAGTTCAAAACCCTCAAAGCCTTCAGCCATGCTTCTGGCCCAAATTCCTCAAGCAGGTTCATTTCGATGTATGAACTTTCCTGCCGGCTTTGTCAATGAGCATGAGTGGGCAATAGTAAGGGTTCTTTCCAAAACTTCAGAGTTAACTCTGTGTGAGAAGTCATCCAAGCACTCAGGAATAGTGCTTTTTTGCAGAGTTTTAGGGTAGTGTGTGGGGTTGTGACTAATTTTGACACACACAAGTCTAGCACAAAGAGTCATATTCCAAACAAGTTGTACACAAGCAAAAAATTTTCCCGTCCAAAAAATCAAAATTGGACTATTCCAAGGGATTGTATGGAGGTACCACTATATTGCTATAAACCCGTTGGATTAATCTTGTTAGGCCAGCATGGTCTGGTTTATGGCCCGGCTCCGAGGAGTAAATAAGACTCGAAAATCCCCAGGTAGGTTCAATAGACAATGCACCGGCTGGTAGTTTAAGAAATAGCTTTCCATGGGTTGAGCTTGTTATTTATGAATTGATTAGAAGCTTAATGAGAAGTGTCTATTCAAACGTACCAGAAATGATTTACAGAATGATTGTCATTAAAATTTCTATATTAATCAGTGCATTTATAAATGAACCGAAATTTCTTCATGACATTTGATTTAAAAAAATATAATTTTTCCTTGAATCTAGAATATTTCATTTATAACAAGTCAAACTCAACACATTATTCCATTTATTTATTTATCAGTTCTCTGCTGTACCGTACTATTATTTATTGTACTTGGTTACAGCTGTGTTTATTTGCTAGCACATTAAATAGTGAAAGTTTATTAGAAGTAAGCATGAAAAAGCTATGGCAAAAGAAAGTAGCTATTGTGACACATATACAACATATTAGGAGGTCATTTATTTGAAAAAATGCCTTTTGCATATTTCTTGTAGGAATTCTGTGTGTCCCTTTTTAAAAAGAATGTTCACCCTGTAATTGAGTACTACTGTTTAAAAGGTCATTTTAAAATTGTTGTAGGGGAAATTTTCATAGCCCAAACATAAAACTTGTTACACAATCTTAAATGATTTGACAATTATTTTTTTAATTTCAGAAGACAACAACCCTGGGGTACGTGGAGCTAACGTTGAGTATGGATCTCCTCTACCTCCTCTCTGGCTGCTTGGTAAGTGGAAATTAGATACAGTTTCAGCTCTGTCTGATTTTGTGTCTTGTTTATACAACCAGGTGTTGATTGGTGTAAATTTTGATTTAGTGCAGAATTAATTAATGCTAGCTTTTCCCCAACTCTTCAAATCGGTCACAAAAAATTAAATATAATTCAAATAGCACAGCCATTTCAACGATTTTCATTTCACACTAATGGAGACCTAGTTGTATTTAACCCGTTAACGGTCCAAACGTATATATACGTTCACTACCGTACTGCCCCAACTTTTTTGAGAAAAAAAACATTGTTGTTTTTTAATAGGAAAAACGAGCATATTGTACCCAGGCATCCCAATTTTTTAATATTGGCGCACAGTGATGCTCACACCCCTTCTCTTATGTCTAGGTGACTCAGGCTTATCGTGGGACTGTAATGTTACACTTAAAATGTATTATACTTTGGGGCACTAGCGGGAAAAATATATATTACGTTTGGCTGTTTACGGGTTAAAGAGTCTGTAGTTTGCATCCTTGTTTTTGATTTGTTTGTACTAATTAAGTAATTTCTAGTTTTCAGTTTCTTGTATAGTACAGTGTAACTTCAACACTGAACTTAATTGGTTCCCCGGGAAAGGCTGTTCGAATTCTGATTGTTCGAGTACAGAAAAGAATTTTCCCAACCAATTTCTTTTTGGTTTTGGGTGTTATCACTAGCCCTCTTAGCCCCATGGTGACTTATTTATACAAATAATATAAAATGCCAAAAATGCAAAAAAAAAATGAAATTAGTTTACAGTGAAGTTCTGGCAGGTTGTGTTTGTTTGGTCGAAATGCTGAGCAAAGTGGGACTACTGACTATTTGTTTTCTGAAAAAGCGTCTGGATTACTGAATTGTTCAAGTAAGAGCCAAGTTCCACTAGTTTGTATGGGTGAAAAGTGTGTAAAAAAAATAGTTTTCGTATTTATAATATTTATTTTTGTCACAATGCAAAGAAAAGATGGGTTATTAATTAGTTTGAAAATTAATTGTAAGAATCCATTTACTGTGACTTGGGTGAATTTCCTGTTGTTACTGATCCCATGTCAAGAATCATTTGTAAAAAAGACTAGTTTTATAACATTTCTTTTAAATTGTTTCCATGGGATTGGGTTTTTAATTTTACCACAGGTATTGGGCTAAACCAGGGCAGGGGAGAGGTTGACTTTGGCTGGTTCTTGTCAAGTGCTCCCCAATATTTTTTGGGGCTTTGGGATTGGTTTGACTGTCTCCCTCTTGTTGTTGAGCGCCATGTGAGTAAATTCTTCTTTATGTACAGTAAACTCTCACTAAAGGACCTAAAGGACCCCAATGGAAAGAAGTCACTCTGACTTTTTTGGGTTATCTTAGGTTCTCTACACATATGCTGCTATGTATGATAATTCTATGTAACTGTATTTGTGTATACCTGAATAAACTTACTTACTTACTTATAGCAAACTTGTGAAATAATGATATAAATTAAGATTAAGATTCTTTATTTCAGGTCATTCTTTATTTAGGTCATTCACCTCTGTACAAACATTGTAATAAGGCACTGACTAAATGAGTGCTTATATATACAGTTTCTCAGATGGTTTTAAAAACATAATTAGAAGTTATAATGGTTTAGAAAACTATCAAGTTAAAGAAATGATAGAATAATGTACAGAATCTGCTGGGTAAATGGTTGAGTACTCATGCTGCTACTACTTACACTATGTCTTGCTACTCTTACTTACACTTAGGTCATACTACACATGCATGTACATGTATATACATACACACCCCTCTGAGTTTTCTTGTTTTCTTATTAGTCCTTGTTTTTGTTTATTACTGCTTATCTCCATGAGGAAGTGAAACAGAATTATTCTTCTGTAAGCCATGCGTGTCATAAGAGGCAACTAAAGTACTGGGAGCAAGGGACTAGTAACCCCTTCTCCTGTGTATATTACTAAATTTGAAAGGAGAAACTTCCGTTTTTCTTTTTGGGCCACCCTGCCTTGGTGGGATACAGCCAGTATGTTGACAGAAAGAAAGACATTTGTTTTCAGTGTATATTGTAGTATAGCTGTAAATTGTGTTTACATTCACCTGGTTGCATGGGTCGAGTCACGGCTCCTGGCCCTGCCTCTTCACTGGCCGCTACTAAGTCACACTTCCTGCTCCACGAGCTTTATCATACCTCTTCTAAAACTATATATGGATCCTGCCTCCAATACATCACTTCCCAGACTATTCCACTTCCTGACAACTCTGTGACTGAAAAAATGCTTCCTCACATCCCTGTGATTCATCTGAGTCTTCAACTTCCAACTGTGACCCCTTGCTGCTGTGTCCCATCTCTGGAACATCCTGTCTCTGTCCACCTTGTCGATTCCTCTCAGTATTTTATATGTGGTTATCATATCCCCCCTATCTCTCCTCTCCTCCAGAGTCGTCAGGTCGATTTCCCTTAACCTCTCCTCATAGAACATGCCCCTTAGCTCCGGGATTAGGTTTGTTGCAAACCTTTGCACTTTCTCTAATTTCTTTACATGCTTGGCTAGGTGTGGGTTCCAAACTGGTTCTGCATACTCCAATATAGGCCTAATGTACACGGTGTACAGGGTCCTGAACGATTCCTTATTGAGATGTTGGAGTGCTATTCTTAGGTTTTGCTAGGCGCGCATATGCTGCAGCAGTTATTTGGTTGATGTGTGCTTCAGGAGATGTGCCCGGTGTTATACTTACCCCAAGATCCTTTTCCTTGAGTAAGGTTTGTAATTTCTGGCCCCCTAGACTGTACTCTGTCTGCAGTCTTCTTTGCCCTTCCCTAATCTTCATGACTTTGCACTTGGTGGGGTTGAACTCCAAGAGCTAGTTTCTGAACCAGGCCTGAAGCCTGTCCAGATCCCTTTGTAATTCTGCCTGGTCCTTGTCAGATTGAGTTCTCATCAACTTTACATCATCTGCAAACAGGGACACTTCTGAGTCTATTCCTTCCATCATGTTCACAAATGCCAGAAACAGCACCGGTCCTAGGACTGACCCCTGTCACAGGTGCCCACTCTGAGGCCTCGCCACATACCATGATTCAATGTTGTCTTCACTACAGGTATTCCCTGATCCATTGCAGTGCCTTTCCTGTTATCCCTGCCTGGTCCTCCAGCTTTTGCACTAATCTCATGTGTGGAACTGTGTCAAATGCCTTCTTACAGTCCAAGAAAGCACAATCTACCTACCCCTCTCTCGTCTTACTGCTGTCACCCTGTCATAGAACTCCAGTAGGTTTGTCACAGGATTTCCCATCCCTGAAACCGTGCTGGTTGTCATTGATAAGTTCATTCTTATCAAGGTGCTCTACTACTCTTCACTGCTATACACAAATAACCTGCACATAGAAGAGAGGAGCTTACGACGATGTTTCGGTCTGACTTGGACCATTTACAAAGTCACACTAACCAGAAGTGGAGCAGACTGGTATAGGCAGGAGGAGGAGGAGGTGGAGGTGGAGGTGGAGGTGGAGGAGGAGGTGGAGGAGGTGGAGGAGGAGGAGGTGGAGGAGGAGGAGGTGGAGGAGGAGGAGGTGGGGAGGAGGAGGAGGTGGGGGTGGAGGAGGAGGTGGAGGAGTAGGAGGTGGAGGAGGAGGAGGTGGAGGAGGAGGAGGTGGAGGGGAGGTGGTGGAGGAGGAGGTGGAGGAGGAGGTGGTGGGGGAGGAGGTGGTGGAGGAGGAGGTGGAGGAGGAGGTGGTGGAGGAGGAGGAGGAGGAGGAGGTGGTGGAGGGGAGGAGGAGGAGGTGGGAGGAGGAGGAGGAGGAGGGGAGGAGGAGGTGGAGGAGGAGGAGGTGGAGGAGGAGGGGGAGGAGGAGGTGGTGGAGAGGGGGTGGTGGAGGAGGAGATGGAGGAGGAGGAGGTGGAGGAGGAGGTGGGGGAGGAGGAGGAGGTGGTGGAGGAGGAAGAGGTGGTGGAGGAGGTGGTGGTGGTGGTGAAGAATTGAGGAGGAGGAGCCAGTCAAATACAAAGAAAGGGGAGCACTGTAAGGGAGCTAGGTGCCCACAGAGGGAGAGCAAGTGTACAGAGGTGGGGGGAAGGGGAAGTGATGAAATAAATAATGAAGGAACACGAGACAGAAGAAAGACAACCCAGAGGAAAAAAAATGGTCCAAGTTGGTCCGAAATGTCGCCGTAAGCTCCTCTCTTCTATGTGCGGGTTATTTGTGTATCGATCCAGTCACGGTATTGTGCCTTTTTTTGTTATTCACTGCTATATACAGTGGACCCCCGTTTAACGATATTTTTTCACTCCAGAAGTATGTTTAGGTGCCAGTACTGACCGAATTTGTTCCCATAAGGAATATTGTGAAGTAGGTTAGTCCATTTCAGACCCCCAAACATACATGTACAAATGCACTTACATAAATACACTTACATAATTGGTCGCATTCGGAGGTGATCGCTATGCGGGGGTCCACTGTATTACATTTACACTGGAGTAATTTAATGATTATTCGCTATTTATTTTTTTGACATTCTGATTTAATGGACACTCAGACAAAACCCTCTTCCCTTTTAGTACATTATATCTAGGTTTACTGTAGTTTTAAATATGACTGGCTGTAGTGCTTTAAATTTTGTGGTTTGGCATACTACCCTTTAATTCATATGCTTTGATGTACCTCTTGATCCAGGGAATTGGAGCTACCCTTCACTTTTATATAAACCTGATCACTATTCATTCCCTGTTGGTTTAGAGCTCTCCCATATTTCTCACATTTTAATTATTTTTCCAAAGGACTTTCCAAGTTGTGTTTTATTATATTTCTCTTTCGCTTGATTTACCTTGTATATTTCAGATTTTTGTATTTTCAGGGGCATCCATACAACAGGAGTTAGCATTGTTGGAGGTGGCGTTCGTGCCCCTCGTATCAAGACCAAGAACCTTATTTCTGTTATTTTCTGCGAGGCTGTAGCCATCTACGGACTGATTATTGCCATTATTCTCGCTGGTATCTTAGTGGTAAGTACTCTCCTAATTGTGTATCTTTTAATGTACAGTAGAACTTCAATTAGAGAACATTTACACTGTAAGTGTCCTTACAGAACTTGAGAAATTGTTGCAATAAAAAATATGGTATGGGGAAAGGATTGCTATTGCTCCCTGTAAATTTTAAATAGTGCTCTTGCATTTATGCCATTGTTGCCGACAAATGATACTTTTTTCTTCAACACTCCATAAAATCATAGGCTTTTTTTCATATTCCACTCATGTTAGTATTATTCAATTCATGAAAATGCAATCTTTGATTCTGTATTTTTTTCTCATAATCTTTCTTCACACTGAAATTATTTTTTGGGTATGCCACAGTGGGATTAAGTAAACACTAACAACGTGTGTTGTAAGATAAATTGTATTATTTTTGACATCCTGTATTAGTATATTTTTAGAAGTTATTTGGGATTTTTGGAGGCTTGTGGAATGTAACCCTATTTTTTTGCAATATGTTCTTAAGATCAGTTAAGCACTGGATTGGACTAGACACTGGTTTTTAGGAATGTAACCCTGTGTGTAAAGGTTGAAAGTGAACATAGATAAGAGTAAGGTGATGAGGGTATCAAATGATTTAGATAAAGAAAAATTGGATATCACGTTGGAGAGAAGGAGTGAATGTTTTCAGATATTTGGGAGTTGATGTGTCAGCGGATGGGTTTATGAAGGATGAGGTTAATCATAGAATTGGTGAGGGAAAAAAGGTGAGTGGTGCTTTGAGGTATATGTGGAGATAAATGTTATCATTGGTGGCAAAGAAGGGAATGTATGAAAGTATGGTGGTACCAACACACTTGTATGAGTGTGAAGCTTGGGTTGTAAATGCTGCAGCGAGGAGGCTGTTGGAGGCAGTGGAGATGTCCTGTCTAAGGGCAATGTGTGGAGTAAATATTATGCAGAGAATTCAAAGTGTGGAAATTAGGAGAAGGTGTGGAGTTAATAAAAGTATTAGTCAGTGGGCTGAAGAGGGGTTGTTGAGGTGGTTTGGTCATTTAGAGAGAATGGATCAAAGTAAAATGACATGGAGAGCGTATAAATCTGTAGGGGAAGGAAGGCGGGGTTGGGGTCGTCCTCGAAAAGGTTGGAAGGAAGGGGTAAGGGAGGTTTTGTGGGCGAGGGGCTTGGACTTCCAGCAGGCGTGCATGAGCATGTTCGATAGGAGTGAATGGAGACGAATGGTATTTGGGACCTGACAATCTCTTGGAGTGTGAGCAGTGAAGGGATTCAGGGAAACCGGTTATTTTCATATAGCCGGACTTGAGTCCTGGAAATGGGAAGTACAATGCCTGCACTCTAAAGGAGGGGTACGGGATATTAGCGGTTTGGAGTGATATGTTGTGTCTCTTTATATGTATATGCTTCTAAACTGTTGTGTTCTGAGCACCTCTGCAAAAACAGTGATTATGTGTGAGTGAGGTGAAAGTGTTGAATGATGAAAGTATTTCCTTTCTTTTTGGGTCACCCTGCTTCAGTGGGAGACGGCCGACTTGTTTAAAAAAAAAAAAATGCATAATATGTAATGCATTTTGTTATCATTTATACCTCCTCATTCCTTGGTTTTATTTTTGCAGGAATACAAGTTAGGTGATGAGGGTGTTTTGGAGCAGAACCAACTGTCTGGTTACTTGATGTTTGCTGCTGGTTTGACTGTGGGCTTCACTAATCTGTTCTGTGGCCTTGCTGTTGGCATAGTTGGTAAGATGCCTGAATTATATAGTGTTAAAAATGCAGTGTATGCAGAGAAACCACTTGGATATAAAAAAAATTAGTAACTGATGGGAGAGACATGTATAGGTTGGCCTTAGGGCCTTGTACTTCTACCCTAGCTTGGTCCACCCTCTTTGTTATCTTATTTTACCACTAATTAGTGTTTTGGGTTTTCTGAAGGAAACAGGCATCATAGATTTTGCAGATTTTATAAAATTAATAGAAATATATACTATTTCTTGAGTCCTCCTGAAATTTAAACTAAATTATATTTACTCTTTTCATTAAACAGGATCAGCTGCTGCACTGGCTGATGCTGCTGATGGCTCTCTCTTTGTGCGAATCCTGATCATAGAGATCTTTGGTAGTGCAATTGGTCTCTTTGGTCTTATTGTCGGCATTTTGCAGGTAAGCTACTAACTAGAATTACAAGTGTCACGGTCAGTACAATAATGGCAAATGTGTTCCATTCTTTGGTGGAGATGGCCCCTGAGGTAAAATAAAAATGAGATTTGTTTATTATTTTTTTTTTGTGTTTTGGCTTCAAATGGAGTAATTGTGATTAACTTTCCTTGGTGGATGTTTGTCAATTAAAACAGTTGAAATCATACCAGAAATCAATCCACTCCTTGGGGCAGTGAAGAGGCTTTTGAAATGAGGAATTAGACCTTTCGGTTTCCTTCCTCAGACAAACTAATTATCCCCCTTCCCTGTCCCATCCTCCACATCCTCTCTCTCCTGTTTCTTGGCATTTAGGGTCCTCCCCTCAGTCATTCTGGTTCCTTGGCGCAGTTTGCCATGGAATATGGATCATACGGCTATGTCCCAGTCCCTCTCCTGTATCCCGGAGGTGGTGGCTGAAGGAGGAATGCCTTGTGGCAGGTATCCAACCACTATCTCTTATCCATCAAGGTGGCTCGGTGGATGTGAGGTTGCTATGCTGGATTGCCGATTTACTGGCATGGGTTCCATGCTGCACATGCACTGCTGGCCACTGCTGAGTTCCTGGTCATGTTGATGATCAGGGCAACGAGCCGGCGGACTCTGCTGAGTGGTCAGCAGTACACGACCTCCAATTTTATGGAAGTATTCCATTTGCAAAAGACGTAGAAAAAGCTTTAGATACAGTCTGGCATAACCGGCTAAAACACAAACTTTAACCTCCCCCTCACTACTCAATAACTACTCTGCAACTTCTTAGATGGACACACAATGAGGATTAAATTCCAAGGCTGTTACTCTGACTACTTCCCATTGCATGCTGGAGTTCCCCAAAGTTCTGTCCTCTCCCCTACCCTATACATTTTATACACCAACAACATCCCAACATCTGTATTCGACAGCACCATCACTCTTGCATATGCAGGCAATATTACACAACTCTTCTACTCCAGAACAAATGCACTTGCACGCAGAACACAAGACAAGGTTGACAGGCTAGCCTTCGGGAACATAGAGGATTAAATCCAATGTTACCAAATTCAGCATCACGTATTTCAACTATAGAAAACTTGATCCCCCACTACCTGTTGAGTTCAGAACAGCTGATACCCACACATTCTTCCCAGTCACCAGAACAACTGCTGTGCTGGGGATCACTCTAGACGACCCCCTTCACATGCATGAACACAAACAAAGGCAAGCCATAGCAAAAAGAGCCCTCACAGGCCTCTCAACGCACCAAACTATACCCATATAAAACACTTATTCGTCCTCTAATCACTTGCTACCCTCTAGCTCTCTCTCCTTCACAACTAAAACTAACATCCTCAAACTGCAGCGAATCCAGAACAAGGTTTTGCATTGGGTGTTTGTTGCCAGTTGGGACAACTTCGTTACAAAAGTCACTCCATGCCCAGTCGACCATCCCATCACTGAACGTACTGGAAGATGCTTAGTGACAGACAGATTGACAAACTAGACACATTACACGACTATTGGACTGCTCTCCTTGATGAAGACATTCGCAGACCTGCCAACCCCCACTATCTATTCTAATCCCTGCTGGCTCCTGATCCAAATTCCCATTATAATTAAATTTGTATGCACTAGCCTGTCTTAACAGGCATGGACCTTAACCAACACCCCCTTTACCCTCCCCTCCAAAACCCTACACAGTTGCGTGTTGGTGCTTGCCTGCCCACATGCCTTATCAGTCATCCTCGCCAAGTCCAGTCTCCTGACCTCCTGATCCACTATTGACCTAGCAACTGGGTTAAGCCCTGGTACTATCCCTCTCACTCAACCTTTCCTCTCGCCAGCTTAGTCGTCCCCTTATATGACTTAAATCATATTCTATCAAGCTAAGTTTAGATTTCTGGCCTTATCGATGCCAAGGTTGGGAGACTATGCTCTCCCATCTTCGCATTGGGCACACTCGCCTACTCACGGGTATCACATGGAGAGGCTCACTCAGAGAATTATCATGTTCCAATTTCAGTTTGCTATATTCTTCTGGACTGTCCAATCAATGAGCACAGAATTTACCTCCAATGTTGTCACAGCTCTAACACCCTTACTTTATCTTCCTACCTTTGACTCAGACCTCTGACTTTTGACAGTAGATTTATTACATAAACATTGATAATACTTTAGCACTCCTCACAGCCCTTTGTGTGTCTACATCTGTTCTCTCTACCCTTGCTACTCTGATCCAGACCACCCCCTGCTCTGCAGCGCTGTATGAACCCTAGTGGGTTCAGCGCTTTGTTTTGGTTATAATCTTAAGAAATCAAAGTGGCATGGCAAAGGAAACTCAAGATGAGGTACTGGCCAGTAAACTGTATTAGGGGAATTCATGAGTAAATTACAGCTGTTATTAAGTGTTATTACATTCATGGGAGAGCACTAAACCTGTAGGGGGTCATACAGTTCCTGAGGGAGAAATTGAAGGCAATCATGCTTGATTCAAGGAAGTGGAGCATAGATCCAATTTCTTAGAGCAAGAGCCCCCTCAGTGGCATCGAGGAATCTTGAGGGGATGAGTGAAGGATTACTTGAGGTACAGCTAACCAGCTTCTGGAGAATTAGGGCAATCTAAGGAAAATGTATGCGAGAAGTATAGAACCTGCTATACTGCGTAGAAAAGACGAGTTGCGACTTACTTTAGGTAGGCTAACCAACTTCGGGTTAGGTGAGGGCCAAGGTTCTATCGCTTTTTTTCCACGAGATAAAAAAGTATGCACTATTTTGACAGCACAATATCAGAACCTATTTACAACTGTATGTATAAACTGTGCAGTAAAGTCCTCTTCAAGGGGGGCTCCTTGGCGTGGTGAAGAGGCTCTTGGTCTGAGGAATTAGCCCTGTCGGTCTTCTTCCTCAGACCAAACCTAATTACCCCCCATTCTCCCCTCCCCTATCCCCTTTTTCCATTCCTCCTCCTCCTCCCCACCCCTCCCTTTTGCCCTTCCTCTTTTTGGCCTTTGGGATTTCTCCCACAGGCGCGCAAGTTCCTAGGTAGGGGAAAGGACACCGGGGTCCATCCCATTCCGTTGAGGTTCTTGGCGGTGGCGTAGTTTGCCGTGGAATCTGGATCGCCTGGGGATGTCCTGATCCCTCTCCGGTATCCCGTAGTAGCTTTGGGTGTCTTTCGGGCGACGGGTGTATCTCTGGAAGCCACCTTTCGGATTCCGGGGTGGTGGCCGAAGGAGGTATGCTTTGTGGCGGATATCCGGCCGCCCTCTCTTTTGTCCACCGAGGTAGCTCGGCAGATGTGAGGTTGCTATCCCGGATTGCTGGTTTACTGGCATGAAGGGTAGGGTATGGCACGGGTTCCATGCTGCATCTGCGCTACTAGCGGTGCTGAGGTCCTCTTGGGCGTGGAGGGAGATTTCCGGCCCTTTCATTCCTCCTGGGAACTATTCCTACCCGCTCCCCCCTTTTTTTATTCTTTTTTTATTTTTATTTTCTTTCTTTCTTTTTTTTTCTTAAAAACAAAAAGCAAAGGAGTAACCTAACCATGGAGAACCCAATCCATGAACCCACTACCCCGGGGCCCCTTCTTGATACCGCACCCCATTCTGACCCTGCCTTGTGTTTAGATCACTCTTCGGACACTACTGATGCCCCTGTACCTCTTGCTTGTGCTGTTTCCTCACCTGCTTCAGGTACCGGGGCTTCGACACTCCTTCGATTTGTCTGAACTCCGCTCTCCTTTGACTATGCTTCCGGCTTCTCCCTCTACGGTACGGCAATTTTCGAATCTCCCGCCCATTTCACGCAGGACCAACTCCGGTCCTACTCCTAAACGTCAATCTCCCGATGATGCTCCTTCGTTACCTTCCCATTCTACTCGGAAAAGACCGACACGTCAAGCACTCCCTCTCCACGCTCAGTTTCGGACCACACAATGGACTAAATTCTTTACTTTAAGACCGACTTCTTCTGCCTACCTCTCTGACCATAGTATTGGCAAAGCGCTCCTGCGTCATGTTGGTAGAGATATTTCATTTCATGCTCTCAAGAGCGGTACGCACATCGTCACTGTCCAGAATGCTACCCAAGCTCATGATCTTTCTCTCCTTTCGAATATCGATACTACTCCTATCATTATTGAAAAACATCTCTCTCAATTCTTGTAGTGGTACTGTCATTCTGCCCCATACCATAGTCCAACAGAATTTCCAGTCATGTGGCAATGACATTCTTGAACAGCTGGAACTCCAGGATCTCCCAATCCTCAAAGTAGACACTTATGTCCTTCCTGCCCGGGGGCGGAGACGTTACCCTTGCAATGTGGCTCTCTCAACTTTTGACAGCCGAGAACTCCCGTCCTCTGTATATGTCGCTGGACATCGGTTACAAGTTCGAAAGGTGATACCTACACCGCAACAATGTAGAAATTGCTGGCGTTTTGGCCACCCAGCGAAATATTGCAGATCTATGGCCGAATGCCCAGTCTGTGGTGCCGACGACCATTCTAATACATCTTGCAGTCAGCCTCCATCTTGCCTTAATTGTAATGAAGCTCGCCCTTCGTACTCCCGCCATTGCCAGGTCTACTTAAATGAACGTGAAATCTGTTGCCTCAAAGAGGCAGAAGGTCTCCCTTATGCTATGGCAGTTACTCATCTCCGCCTCCAAGGGAGACTACCCCGTGTTTCCAAACATCCCCTTACTTCTGGGGTCCCATCTTCTGCAGCCTCCTCTGTTGTTACCTCTCCCATAGCCACTCCGGCATCTAATCCTTTTGCTGTCCTTGGCTCTGACGTCCCGACTACATCTCAAGTCTGTTCTCACATCTTCGCGTCCTTCCTCACAAGCCCCAGTATCGACAAGACCTCGTACGACATCTAATACCAATCGCCCCTCTACTTCTCAGAAGTCCAAAAAATCCACATTGCTCAAATCTTCTTTGCCCCTTCCTTCCCTTCTTCCACCTCCACACTTTACCTTTCCAGTCTCTG